TATGTCATCCTCTGCCATGTCCGCTGATATCTTCAACAATTCCTCCATTGTTGTCGAACTTGGTTGTCTACCCACCTGAAACATACCAGGACCTCATTAAGATCCATTATATCCTCTACTCAAATTTGAGTATTTTGCTCGATATAGAATGTCTGCAAGCGTTTTATTCATACTTGCGCCTGTATTGAGGCTAAGATATTCGGACATCTTGTCGAACATTTTGCATCGCGCAAAAATTATTTCGAGCCGTTACTGCTTTTCGGCTGAATAGACGCATCAGCTGTGCTTCGGTTGCTGCTACGCCTGCCATTGCGCTTCGGCTACGGCTGCCGTTACGCCTTGGCTATGGCTGCCGTTGCACCTCAGCTACGTCTGCGGCTGTGGCTGTGGCTGCAGCTGCTATCGTCTCACCTTGGCTGATAAGTAGTCTCGTGGGAGCTGCATTTCTTTGCCAGACGAGCCTTGAATGGTGCGTCTCGCGAGTCTTGACGGCTGCGTCTCGAGAGCCTTGACGGGTGCGACTCTCGAGCCTTTACGTCTGCTGCTGCGGCTGGTGAGGCGAAACAAACGCCACTTGAAGACGTAAATGAATAAAGCGTTCTAGGATATATTGAAACATAAAACATTATCGTTCTTACCTTTTCCTTAATATTCTGTTGTCCTTAATATTCTACCACTACTATTTTATTGTGATAATAAATTAAACACTTTTTAGAACGGTACACAACGTTATAGACTTGTACACACTACTCCGAAAACGACAGAGTACTTAGGAATTCATTCGCGAGCCGGTTGCGCTAGCCATCACAACCTTCTAGGGGACCGTAAGAGGGACGAAGCCCCTTTTGGAGCCCTCTAGTGGTAAATTTGGGCAAGTACATATGAAAGGATAACGTCAAGTAGTGTAGTCTCCGAAAGGTCAAGCCTTTACATTTCGGAAACTAACAGACTAACGGACTAACAGACCAGAAATAAATCAATTTAACGTTTTATCATTTGCAATTCTAAGAAAGGAAAGCCTATTCCAGACTAGTCTTTAAACCGCCAGCAGACTTATTCGAAGAATATTTTAATGGCCCTACATGTTTCTTACATAAAATAGTAATAGGTATCATCGTTAGTGTAAATTTCAAGCTTATTGTCAGTTAAATTATAAATTATTTTACTATTATATTTTGTGTTTATTCTCACTTGTTTTGTACTTTAAAACACCGAATAATATCAAGAAATAAACAATCATGCTTTATACAATGGTTATGTTAGTTTTTCTTTACAAGTACCCTGTACATTGTATTTTGTTTATACTTAGAAATAAAAATTACCTAAAATGTATACGCGATTGAATGTGTTTGAGTGAAATGATTTCGATATATTAGTGTACGCCTAGGATAAGATTATTATTTGTCTGTATGTATTTAAACTTTCTCATGTAAGTGAATTGTTGTAAATTATTATGAGAAATATCGATATCTCAAACCTCATGTATGCATAGAGGGAACTTGCAATTCTACATTAATTGAGTCGTTAAACTTGTCTCGCGTTTTCCAATTTAATTGTCAAATATGGAAAAAAGGGAAACAGCTTTGAAAAATTTTGCCTGTAAATTATAACTCATTAAAAAAAAAGTTTGGATCTCCACAACAGCGCCACCTACCGAGTCCAACTGTGAATCTAAATCATACTCAAAAGCACAAAAAATAATTCACCAAAATCGTTCGAGCCGTTTTAGTTTTAGCGAGATTAACGGACAGCAATAGATTTTTATATATAGAGATTGTAAAAAAAGGTTCTAAATTTATTGTAACGGTGTGCGCCTATACGGGTGCAATGCATACGTTTTAACCAGACATTAAACTGTCTAAGTATACGAATTTATTTATATTATGAGCTATGTATAAATAAACCGTGTTACATAAACCAAATTTATTATCACCTATATTTGATTTCACTAAATTATTTTATCTAAACAAAGAATTGTCAAAACACAAAGGCTTGTTCATACTATTTTCTTATTTATAATAGATGAACGAAGAGTATCTAATTTATATTAAGAGAACGTTGAGTAGGACACACATGCCATATAGCATATGTGTCCTACTCAACGTTTAATTTTAAGGTTACCGGATTAAGTAGCTCATTTTTTTCTGCGTAATTTTTAAGGTAAAATATTTATAGTATTAGATAACAAAAATCAATCGGGAATCTATTAATTTCAATTTCTGTGACGTGATGAATTAATTACAATTTTTATATAATAGAGCTAAATTATATGAAATACTAAATATAAGTAACTCATTTTTACGAAAAAGGCAGACACTTCGGTCTTACAAAACAACAACGAAATGAAGGAAGGATAATATTATGTCCAGCTCTCGGACGTACTATATTGGTTTCACTGTCATATTTCTACTTGTCTTTAATGCCAAAAGCTATTGTCGAATCCGTTGCATTAAAACTAATCATCAGCTTGTTGATTTCATAACTGAAATGCGTGATCCCCGTAAGGAGCTACCAAGCTTCGTGCTTGCACAGTTGGTTTTACTGAGTGCCCTTAACTTGCATGTGCCATTAGAAAATAATTAAGAATAGAATGTTGCTAACAGATCAATTATACTTTAAAGCCTTCTATTAACTACGGCGTTGGCTACTTCAAATTGGTTCCTTAAATCAGCCAGTGTTTCAGTCATTTGATATTTACTCTTTTAAATTTAAAACGGATGATGAGTAACCAGTAACCTTAAACTTAAGTAACCTTTTTTCGGTATGAATGTTATAGCAAAAACAATTTGAGAATCCAACGCGAAAGTAATTGTGGACAGAAACTTCTTGAAATGATGACATAAATAATAAGTATTGAATTATGCTGGATGCTTATACATAATTTTGACTTATTAGATGTGTCTACAGGACGCTGGTCAGAGAGTCAGAGATATTTCCCAAGTAGTTTACAGTTATGGAAAAGTGTAAATAAGTACTTTGAAAAGATCGAATAACTAATGATATATATCTATATATATATATATATATATATATATATATATATATATATATATATATATATATATATATATATCATAGGAGAGGGGGCAAACGAGCATGCGGCTCACCTGATTGTGACTACCGCTGCCCATGAACAACTGCAACACCAGGGGAACCAGCGGAATTGCAGATGCGTTGCCGGCAAAAAGGAATAGGTTCTTTTCTTAAAAGTCCCTAAGTCGTATCGGTCCGGAAAAATCGCTGCTGGTAATCGATTCCACAAGGAGGTTGTGAGAGGAAGAAAACATCTTCTAAATCGCACAGTGGTGGACCGCCAATCATCCAGATGGTGTGGATGGTATCGGGAGTTCTGCAGCGATGTGCGTTTGTGAAATTTGGCGGCTGGGATTAATCCGAACAATTCTTCAGAGCACTGCCCGTGGTAAATGCGAAAGAAAATGCAAAGGGAAGCAACATCTCCTCGAAGTGCTAATGAATCGAGCCGAGTGTGAGGCCGAACCTACGCCTTGTAAAGTTGCAGGCGGTGTGCCGGCATGAAATACTGTCCCGCTCTGCTGATCACGCCAAGCTTTTCAGAGGCCAATTTGGCCTTCTCTTCCAAATGACCACAAAACTGCACGTCGCTCGATATGTCGACTCCGAGAATTCCGATACTGGCTGAGGCAAGAAGGGGAGTGCCTTGAAACTGAGGAGATACGACAACGGGATTATTTTTAGCGGTAAACGCGCAAACTTGTGTCTTCTGAGCAATAAACTGGACTAGATTTAGTCGCCCCCAATCCGTGACTTTGTTTAGCAGAGACTTCCGGTATTCGGCGACGTTTTACCGAGAAATATTGGCACGGCCGGTGTATAGAGCATCACCAGTGCCGTCATCCGCATAGCAATGAATGTTACCAGTTAGCAACATATCATTGATATGCAGAAGAAACAGCGTTGGTGATAACACACAGCCATGTGGAACACCATCGTTAATAGGCTTGTAGTCGGAGCATGCACCGTCTACAACGACCTTGATGCTCCGATCAGCAAGGAAATTGGTGATACAATCGCACAATTTCTCGGGTAGCCAATTGGAAGGGAGCTTCGGAAGAAGCGCTTTGTGCCAAACCCGGACTCTACTGCTTCCGTTCATCTATGAGTCAGTTAGACCAGAAGATAACCAGCTGATCGACCCCAATGAAAACCGTATTGGCGGTCACTAATCAGCTGGTGATCCTCAAGGTACCGCATGAGCTGGCAGTTTATAATGGATTCCATTATTTTGGAGAACAAGGAGGTGATGGCAATAGGCCTGTAGTTGAATGGGTCTGAGAGGTCACCTTTTTTATTTTTTAGGTAATGCTATATTTATTTAAAAAAATAAATAAATATAGCATTACCTAAAAAAAAGACAAAGAGATGCCAAACATTTTAAATTTATCTTGCAATATTAAACTCTTAAACTTAAGACTATTACCAGCTATGCTGTAAATTACTATTACAAAGTGTTCATACCTTATTTGCCACATCATAGCTATATAAGAAAGTTATCAACACCCTCTTTCGTCTCGTGCATGGCGTAAGGCCTGAAGTGGAATAACACTCTCCCACCCATATCGGACTTTCCTAGACGGACGACGGGAAGCAGCAGCAAAAATTGTGAGACATGGTTCCAAGGACATATTATTGTGTATATTTTATACTTTTGTTTTTGTCAAGAGGGGGAATATTGTAGAGGCAGAAAATAACATATCTAGTTAGCGTGTGCAAGAATTTATTATAAGTCGAATTTGGAAAAATGTATTCAGTCCCTTATGTATACCCATAGAAACATGTCATTTCTTAACAAATCTTTATGTCTATTTTTGTGATATTAGTGATGTTAGCCAGTTGTATTTTACAGCTTTGTCGGGTATTGGGCCAGTAAAAGGAATAACTTAAGAAATATATTGCTATCTATTAGATTTTATTTTCTTATGCGTACACCCAATAGTAAAGAAGTTTTTATTTATTAAATATTATTTAATATCATCTTTGATTATACTAAGTTCGTTTTTTCTTAGAAATTTAATTTTGAAGTAAGTACGTTCACTTATTCCATCAGTTACATGGTTATGTAGCTAATGGTATTTCAAATAATTCATTCCCTTAACTCCGTGTTTCATCTCATGCTTTATTACAGTAACAAATGTAACTCAAATTAATGTGACCCGACCCGAACATTAAAGCGGTAACAGGTTGCAATTCTCTTCTAACTCCTAACATAATACACGTTCATTATCCCTGCAGTAATTAAATTTGTAAGGTATGTTCTTAAACAAAGAAGATTTAGATGAATCACGGCTTATACACTATACGTGAATCGTTTATCAATATCACACTTATTTCATCCTATAAATAAATACTAATTCTATCCCTTACAGACCATAAAAGTCTAACGCTGGCCGTAAAATTTTTCCGTATATTGACACAAAGTACATCCCTGAGCCACCAGTGCATCTATCAGGTGCCAACATGTTTCATCATGTCGTCACACCATCTAGTGGGATATCGCCCAAGAGTGCGCTTACTAATTAGCATTACTAGGCTGCCACTCGAAAACCTTTCTTCTCCATTAGTTTTCGGCTCTTCGAGCTACATGGCCAGCCAATTGTCACTTCCGCTTACTGATAGTTTAGGCATTATAATTACGTACCTATGTAACATATAATTACACATACAACACAAAATAAAGTGTAATACATTATTTGTGTTCTATTTGTATGTTTATAATATATATTAGCAATTTTTTTCTTTCTACTTTATTGGTGCTTTTATCTTCAGAAATTTGCCAACTCCATCGTTCTCTATCTTAGAAGCTCATATCTGAGAATTTGTGTCTTAAAGCTCAGTAAACATCTCAGCGAAATCTGATTCAGGTTTCGATAGTATTGTCTGGGCCTAGCCCATGTCGTTGTAGTACTTTTTATAGCATAAAAGTGACAAACGAGCACACAGTTCATCTGATGGTAAGTGGTAACCGTGGCCCATAGATATCTACGTTTATCCTTGATTAATAATCGAAATTCAGTTGCGTTATCACCCCTTTGGCCTAATATGTAATGCCTCGTTTACTGTAAAATGGGTGACCGGTTCTCAACAATCATGCGGAACACAGCAGAATTAACCTGCTATTTTACGTTGGTTTTCTGTGAGTGTGTGGTCTTAAACCCGTCGAATCGACCCAATCGTGCTACAACTATAATATATTTGTAGTATGACTCTATCACCTTCTTTTTATAAAAAATAAATTTGTCTGAAGTTAATTTCTTTATATACAAAATAACTACGCTTAAATATTTACACATTTGTTAGTAATATCGTTGACACAGTAGAAGTTTACACTAAAGCAGGTAACAGTTTACAGGAGTTCATTAGTCGCATGCAGATAGTTTCACAACTAACTTAAACTTAAACTCCGCATACATTCGTTCCTTCCACTGCTACTCACGCTTCCGTAAATCAATTTATCAAAGTTGTTTACATAATCGCAAAATATGGTAAAAAACGTAAAATACACAGGTTTTGTTTTCAAGCAAAATCACCAAAAATGTATATTTTAAAAACATTTAAAAACAACTTCAAAAACTAAACAGAATACCTATATTGTCATATATTTATTTTGTCAGTTTCTCCAAAATTTTTGAAAAAGCTATGCACTGTAGGCTTAGTCATTACTTTAATGAACATAATTTTATAAAAAAAAAGGTATAGTTTTCAGCAAAACAAATCAACCATGATGGCATGTTTTGATTTACTAAAAAGAATCACCGATGCAATAGATGATAAGGTAAATGTAACATGTGTATTTTTTGATATGTCATAAGCATTTGACTTTGTTTGCCATAACACCTTATTACGTAAGCTAGAAAAGTATGGGAGAAGAGGACTGACATTGCAGTGGATAAAATCATACTTATCATCAAGAAAACAGTGTGTGGAAGTTATAAGCCCTAACAAAAATAATACTTAGACAAAATTTAGATCGCGACTAGTTCTTAAGTACAATGGAGTTCCTCAGGGAAGTGTTCTTGGGCCCTTTTTCTTTGTAATTTATGTAAATGCTTTACTGGATTCGTTTACATAAATAACAATTTACTGCATTTCTTTTAAGAATCTAAAAAAGATTACATATCTAGGATAGCGTCATCAAAGCGGCAGTTGTTTAGAAAACAGTAGCAGTTTCAGGGTCATTAGAGATATTTTTAAATACTTAAATAAAATAATTTTTAAATACTATATTTTATTATTGTATTTGTATTTTTAATAAACATTTTTAATTTCATGTTTTATTTAAATAGTTATCTCCTTCTGTATCTTATAAACAGTGGTAGAGCCACGCGGCAGCTTTTGCTGTCGCACGGATGGGCCGGCTCGAACCGGGGTGGTACCACGACCTCACATAATACCAGCGTGAAGTAGAGGTTTACCTCTGCGTTTCGCTTGGTGAGTGCAGGTGGCCGCAGGCCCCTTTTACTGGAAATGAGGCATTCTATCTTAGTCCACACGGGTGGCAACGCATCTGCATTTTGATTCGCAAACGAGGATAGATGTAGATGTCTATGGGCCGCAGCAACCACTTACCATCAGGTGGACTGTGTGCTCGTTTGTCACCCTTATCCTATAAAAAAATATTTTGTTTTAATGCAAAACATAATATCCAATAAAGTAATAATAATAATTAATTGAAGCTGACCGCACTCTTAAGTCTCGTGATTCCTTCTAATATTATATCCATTCTGTGAAAGTTGTATGTTGTAACCTTTACGTTGAAATGGATTTAAATTAAATACATCACGTAGATTCTTAGAATGGCAAGAATCGAGATCAGTGTATGCTTTAATATGCGGGTGAAGCCGCGGGCCACAGCTAAACTTAGTAAGAAATAACTAATAAAAAAATATCTGACAGCTAAAATCTGACAACTATTCACTTGTTAAGTGTAAATGGGACTGGATTGGAAAAACTAGAAGAAATAGGCGTAGGTATTTGCCTCCTCCATTTCTTCCACTTCTCTATATATATATCAGAGAATAAGGCCATTGAGTATTATATAAAAATTAATATTTACAAATAATATAAGATTTTTTGGAACATAAATAACAAATATTTATATAAATATATAATTTTTATACATGGTAGAGCCATGCTGCAGCTATATTAGTAGTATAGTTGTAGCACGAACGTGTCGGCTCGACCGGCGAAGGACCACGCTCTCACAGAATACCAGCGTAAAATAGCAGCTTAACACTGCTGTGTTTCGTATGGTGAGTGTAGAACCGGAGACCTTATTTACTGGAAAAGAGGCATTCCATCTTAGTCCTCACGGATGACAACAATCTGCATTTGATTCGCAAAGGGGAATATATGTGAATTACATAATATATTTGTGAATATAACACAAGATATTACGTATATATATATATATATATATATATATATACAATATGTAACAAAAACCCCGTGGTTTCCATTAAGTACGTTATCAGGATCATAATTCAAACGTACAGATATAACTTTTTTTAAAACTCGAACAATATTTTTTTTATTTTATTTAAATAAAAAAATAATTGTATGCAAATTGTATATGTTTTTATTACTTCTGCATTGTCTGGGGAGTATGTTGATTGTCAAAGACCCCGCTTTACTTAGTATTAGCATCGGCTAGTGTCAGTAACAGGTAATAAAACCACATAAATTAAAAAGCAAAATTTAATAAAATTAAAAAATGTGTAGTCGAGTTTTAAAAAAAAAAGTTATTTCTATAGGTTTGAATACTGATCCTGATAACCTGCTTAACGAGAACCACATGGTTTTTGTTACATGTTGTATATAATATAAATATTACACAAGTTAACAAAAATAAATAATGTTAAATTTTTTACTTTGCGAATAGTTAATAAAGAATTATAAACGCAACCTAAATATTAATTCTATGACTATGCCTACTATTACATTTTCTCCACTTTTTGGGGAAAATGTCATTAACTTGCAAACAATTCTCATTTGCTTGTGTGCGTGTGGGCAAAGGTAATTACAGGCCGCTTATGCACACATTCATTATGTTGTTGCTTCAACTTTGAACGGAATTTTGAATGTCACTATCACTCTATGTGTAATTACTCTAAGAATTTGTCTATAAAAATCTCTGAGTCTTTGGTCGGATATTGTATATGGCACGAATTGATTCTGATATTTTATTTGGCAGTGGTAGCAGGTCCTGTACCTAATCTCTCTTTCATCGTATCGTCCCATCGGACTGCGAAAGTAAGGGAATAGAGAGTGCGCCTGTGTTTGCGCACACATTCGTTTACTAAAACCCTGTCGTGTGCATATGGCTAGTCTCCTTTGATACTGTTCACCGGTACCAAAATTTGGTCTGGAAGACATTAAGCGCGAAGCGCGCAAGTATGTTCTACTAGGGCCTAAACATTGAGATTCCGACGTTTTGTCGCATGAAAACGTATCTAGCAAACATATTATACATTTAAATAATATAAAAAGAACATTTTCAGAAAGATAAATGATTATTACACTTATTCATATTTTTTTAAAATCGATTAATTACTATTATTACATAAAAAAGGGATTTTAGTGGCTTATGGTGTGGATTTATCAAGTGCGCATGGTGGCGTAAATACGATAACTTTTGAAAATATCAATTGTTCAACTTAATCTACTTTTAAAACTTTTCAACTATCATGTGGGAAGCCATGGAATGTAAATGGCAGTTAAATTTTGTTTTGTTTAGTTAAAATTATTTTTTTTTCGGCTAAGAAATGATAAATTTTCGGTGGTTTAAGAGCCTTGTGTTAATTTATTTTACTGAATAGGCAGAGCCACAGCCACGGAGTACTTTATATACTTCGGGCTCAAATGCCGTCGTGAGTGGTCGTTTGTTATAGCGAAAAATATCGATCGCCGTAGAAATACAAAATATTCCAAAAATTAAATTTGATACATACTTGACCAAGGTAAGATATAATTATTATTATTTTTTATCACAGATATTTATTAAAATCTAGGGGCACGGCAGTCTCCCCGCCAAGTGGAGCAAAAAAGCGGCACGGCCGTACCATCATTTTCTCGAAGCAGTTCAGGCCATTTTCGAAAACCTATAACTTCGTTGTGGATAAAACTAGAAGCCTGAATTTTCATTAACCAAGTAGACATTGTATAAACTCATTAAATTTAATATATTTGGTATATTTCAAATTTCATTAAAATTGAACCAGTAGTTTAAGTAAAATTAATTTTACGGATTTTATCGCGTATATTTACTTATTTTTTATATTCCCGACGTAAGTAGTACAACGCTTTAAATTCGTCTTTGGGGAGATTTAGTTTCGGCGCTGAACTTCGAAGGACGAAATGTCTTGATGTATAGCTTCTATATCCTCTTTACCGATATTATTCTTAAACCGACAATCCTCAACACTACAGATAATTTCCTCGTACGGAATTTTTACCATCCGTCAAGTGTCATATCCCTCTACAAGATGCAGGAGTGTACAAGCTGGATTGTGAATGTCGTCTCTCGTACATAAAACAAACAAAAAGATCTATAAAAACCCGCGTGAAAGAACATATAGCTGACGTGAAGCACCGACGTATCGGGAAGTCTGCAGTGTGTGAACATGTTCAAGGTCGCCCCCGCCAATACATTAGATTTGATAGACCACAAATCCTCGCAAAAGAACACCGATTCCTCCCAAGGATGATTCGCGAGGCTATTGAAATTAAAAACCGTCAGTAGAGAAGATGGATGGGTGCTGCCATCTGCTTGGGATCCCATAATTAATAAAATCAAATCCAAACCCAAGTATTATACTACTGCTAGACTTAAAGATACTGTGAGCTCATTCTGCGTAAATCGAACCAAAAATTTATATTAAAAACTGAAGGTAGCCGGGCTAACTATGACAGCAGGACGTCAAGCACCTCAGTCCCCCGTGACCACGGGTGCTGGAAAGCACCCGAAACGTCGGGAATATAAAAAATAAGTTAATATAAGCGATAAAATCGTTTTACGAGTATTTAAATATGTAGTGTTCGCGTAAATATTAGAAATCATAAGTAGTTTAAGAAATATAACTAGTAAAAACTTCTTAATTTCGTCACACACTGACGGACCGATTGTTTAGGCCCAAACATGGTCATTATGAAACGCCATCCAATAGCGTTGACTCGGCACATCGCCCGATGGTGTGAGGTGAGGTAAACGCCACCGGGAGGGGGAGGCAGCCGTGTGCCGCTTGCAGTTGCTCGACGCTCGGGCTGACAGTAGCTTGAGAGCAGCGGTGCGGTCGATTCACGTATTTTGTAGTGACCGCTGCAGCGGTTTATCGCGCGACCAGTTTTGGTTTTTGTGGTCTAGATTTTTAGTATTTGTGCGCGTTTAATTTGCTATTTAATTTGTGGTTCGTGAGAACCGCCTCGTATTAGTTTGTCTTAGTTGTACGGTCGTGACAAGAGGCTTGTATTAAATTTGACTGATTAAAGTAATTTCGTTTGAAAGTAATTGCGCCAACTATATCGTGATTGCGTGTTGAAGTGCATTTTGCAATATTTAACTTGCATGTGTGACGTGGAATCTTGCGCGCGCGCCGAGTAGAGATACGTTAGTTTGCGTGTCAGCTAGGTTGATTTTGAATTCTTATTGCGGCGTAGTATTTAATATCGTACGAAGGAATTTAGTTGTTGTTTGTAACGCTGAACTTTGTGACTCCTGAAGAGATCGCGTTAGTTCCCTATTTGTAATTTGGTGATAAATGAATCCGGAACTTTGAATGTAGAACTTTGAACTCCTGCTCGTTACTTGTGTCGGGTATCACGTGTTTGATTTTACGATGAACGTTGAATTAGTTGAGTTGAAGTTAGATAAATGTACAATAAAGTTGATAGACTGAAATAATGACATGAAGAAAGAAGTGGTCACTTGGTGACGCCTGCTAGAGTGATGCAGCATTGTGAGGCAGCATGGGACTAGGCCGCTGCCCGGTCACCTCAGCTAGGCCAGGTCACATAAATAAACACCACTACACACCACTTTACATGCACCTACACCTACCTACGGCCTGACCGACCCTTGGTGCGGTCTTAGCTTCGGATCCAGGTACGTACTATTTTTTAATTTTTTTTATAGAAGAGTGGCAAACGAGCATTCGGCTCACCTGATGGTAAGTGACTACCGCCGCCCATGAACAACCGCAACACCAGGGGTATTTCAGATGCGTTGCCGGCCTTTTAGAAAGGTGTAAGCTCTTTTCTTGAAGGTTCCTAAGTCGTATCGGTCCGGAAAATTCTCTGGTGGTAATTGATTCCACAAGGAAGATGTGCGAGGGAGAAAACTTCTTCTAAATCGCACAGTGGTGGACTGCCAACTGGTGGAATCCAGATGGTATGGATGGTAAAGCGAGTTGTGTCGCGATGTGCGATGATGATAATGAGCGGCTGGAATTAGTCCGAACAATTCCTCAGAGCACTCCCCGTGATAGATTCGATAAAACACGCAAAGAGATGCAACATCTCTACGCAGTGCCAGTGCATCGAGCCGATCAGAAAGAACTCGGTCGTCGACGATTCGGACCGCTCTGCGCTGGATGCGGTCAAGTGGAAGGAGCTGGCACTGGGGTGCCCCGGCCCAGAGATGAGAACAATATTCCATGTGAAGCCGAACTTGCGCTTTGTAAAGTTGCAAGCGATGTGCCGGCATGAAATACTGTCTCGCTCTGCTGAGCACGCCAAGCTTTTTAGAGGCCAATTTGGCCTTCCCTTCCAAGTGACCACGAAACTGCACACTATTCGATACGTCGACGCCAAGGATTCCGATACTAGCTGAGGAACCAAGGGGAATGCCTTGAAACTGAGGAGATACGACAAAGGGGTTCTTTTTAGCGGTAAACTCGCAAACTTGTGTCTTCTGGGGATTGAACTGGACTAGATTTATTCGACCACAATCCGAGACTTTGTTAAGCAAAGACTCGACTTCAGACACAAGTTTGTCCCGGTACTCAGCGACGTTTTCCCGAGAAATTTTGGCACGGCCGATATATAAGGCACCACCAGTGCTGTCGTCTGCATAGCAATGAATGCTACCAGTTAGCAATATATCATTGATATGCAGGAGAAACAGCGTTGGTGATAGCACGCAGCCTTGTGGAACACCAGCGTTGATAGGCTTAAAATCAGAGCATGCACCGTCTACTACGACCTTGATGCTCTGATCAGCAAGGAAACTGGTGATCCATTTGCACAATTTCTCGGGAAGCCCATAGGAAGGAAGCTTCGAAAGAAGCGCTTTGTGCCAGACCCAATCGAAGGCCTTCGTTATGTCCAAACTAACGGCCAATGCCTTCCCCTTGGCCTCTACTGCCTCCGCCCATCTATGAGTCAGATAGACTAGAAGATCACCAGCTGATCGACCTCAACGAAAACCGTACTGGTGGTCACTAATCGGCTAGTGATCCTCAAGGTACCTCATGAGCTGGCAGTTTATAATGGATTCCATTATTTTGGAGAACAAGGAGGTGATGGCAATAGTCCAGTAGTTGGACGAGTCTGAGCGGTCGCCTTTTTTAGGGATCGGTTGGGCCAAAGCTGTCTTCCATGAATTCGGTACTACGCCTTGGGAGTAGGAGTACCGGAAAAGACGCGTTAAAACCGGTGCCAACTCCGGAGTACACGTCTTCAGCACAATGGGAGGGACTCCATCGGACCCACTCGACTTGCTGACGTCCAGGGAGAAGAGTGCTTTGCGAACCGAGCGCTGTCAACCGCACATCCGGCATGAAGCACTCACATTGCGAGATGGTCGGCGGTGTGTTCCCCCCGTCATCTAGAGTCGAGTTGGACGCAAACAGAGAGCTCAACAGTTCGGCATTCTCCTTTGCGCTATGGGCCGCTGAGTCGTCCTCTCTGTGCAAAGATGAAAGAGTCGGCTGTCAGAATTTCTCTTGGACAGCCTTGGCGAGAGACCAGAATGCACGGGTTCCCGAAGGAAGGCGAACTAGCTTCTCGCCAATTCTGCCGATGTACTCAGACCTTGCCTTGGTAATGACGCTTTTGAAGGACCTGGAGGCGGAATTATACTTCTTTTTAAATGCGCTGGTGTTTACATCCCGAGACGTTGGATGCGTTAGCCCAGGCCCGGTAGCAATCCCGCTTATAGCGTGATGCTATTTTACAGGAGCGACCAAACCATGGCTGGGATCTGCCTCCGATGGGCACCACAGAGGGTGGAATAAAAAGTTCCATACCCTGAAGTACCACATCAGCAACAGAATCGGCAACAACGCTGGGATCTTCCGGCGAGAAGCAAATCCGCCCCCAAGGGTAGGATGCAAAAAAAGACCGCATCCCGTCTCAATCAGCTGACCTATAGTATCAAACACGTTGGCAAGCTGCAGATCGCAACTGCGATTGGAGCGTGAGTGGCACCGTACTCCGGATCAGACAATGGTCCGAAGAGCCCAGAGGGGCATCGACGGAGAACTGATATCTGTCCGGATGAGAGGTCAGCAGAAGGTCCAACAGGGAAGGTACATGGTCTTCCACATCTGGGATCTGTGTAGGCGAAGTAACCAGTTGTGTTAGACCATATGCCAAAGCAAAGTCATAGACAGATCTACCGGCATGATCGGTTAAATGGCAACCAAGTCATTCAGCATGGTGGACGTTAAAATCACCGAGTATCACGATCTCTGCAGATGGGAACTGTTGTAGCACGGAGTCTGCAGCCATTTGGACGTGATCGATGAGTCGGTCTGTGTCGGCATTACCGCTATGGGACCTATAGATGCACCCGTAGACGCGGGGATGGTCATCGCTGTCTACCTTCAAGACTGCCGAGGCGTCGAAAACAGATGTCCTCTCTGACGTATACGCAAACTCCAGCCCGGGGCACAAAGGAGTGTTTCAATTTGTACCCCGGGTATGAGAGATATGAAGTATCAGCCGGAGAGGACACCTGAGTCTCGGTTAAAAAGAGCAAGGTAATCGACAGCGTTAAGGTTTGAATGAAGTCCCCTGATGTTGCAAAAATTCACGGATAGCGTGCTAGGGGTCGCCTTGGTTGTATTGCTCCGCTTGCCCTGAGCAGCAGTAGTCGCGAGTCCCCCCCCTCAGAATACGCAGAGCAGCCTGAGCACCCACGCTCAGGAGTGAAGTAGTTTGGTCGTGGATGCTCAGCGAGGGATTCTCCAGGGGTGCTGGTACCCTCCTGGGGTAGTCTTTTATTTTATTCCACTACCATGTTGATGGGGGTGGGGGTTGGGCCTCCGGCCACCTGCACTCACCAAGCGCAATGCAGAGGTGAACCTCTACTTCACGCTGGTATTCTGTGAGGTCGTGGTACCACCCCGGTTCGAGCTGGCCCATCCGTGCGACAGCAAAAGTTATTTACCTAGCTTTATCACTCTCGTGTAGGTCAACTGTCCATAGGCCTTTTGGGCCCCGACCTCTGCTGCCCGTCAAATCTTCCGCTGATGGGCCACGGGATATTTCACCTTTGTTGGGGCAGCTAGGGGCGTATACACCGATCATCAAATCTCTCGTCGAAACGTCGGTCATTAAGAATAATAAGAAATATAAGTTAATTAAAACGCGATAAAATCAGTAAAAGTAGTTTTGTTCAATGTGTAGTGTTCGCGTAAATATAAGAAATCGTAAAATTAAACATAAATTTAATTACTTCAGAAGTCGATATTCAGATAGTATATGAAAGAATGAAAGACACGACTTTAGTAGCTATAAAATTATGCGGTAATTATTTTATTATTTTTTAATTTCCTTATTGAGGTCCTTTTTTACTTATTTCAGGTTGGCTCCTTTAAATGGACTTAGCAATAACACAAGCACAAGGTATCGACTAGAATGCCGTCTAAATGTGCATAAAATGAACATAAAAACTTCATTCCTTCAGCTAGTTTTCCGCCCTTAGAGATTGAGCTTTTCTTTAAACTTATACAGAACCAACATAGAAATCAATTTACCTTTAAAAAAAGGGGGTTCTTAGTTTGACGGTTTTTTTTTCTATTTATGTTACAGAATATCATTCAAAGTAGGTGTTTATAGTTTTAGAAGCTTTATTTAATTTCCTTTCTTCGTGTGTCTTTCCAGTTCAAAATATTCAATATTTTTTGGAAGAACTTGTTGACATCCGATTGAGCTTAAATTTTGCATACTTATATAAAATTGACGGCATTACATTATGATACCATAAAGTTGAACTGATAATGGTCCTATTAAAGCTTGTTTCAATTAGATTATATTTAATA